TAGAACCCTCCCCGTCCCTGTCTTTTCACTCAGTCATTCCTACTCATCCCTTTGACCTTGGCTTAAAAATGCTGCTTCCAAAAAAACTTGTTGACCCCCTGGACCAAAGTTTCTCAATTTTCCTGATAATGGAAATCACTAGAGTGCTTTTTAAAAACAGATATCCAAACTCATCCAGGTCTACAGACTCAAAACCTCCAAGAGAGTGCCTGGAAAACTGTAATTTTAACAAATATCCCCAGTGCTGCCCAGGAAGTTAGGAACCTCTCCCCTGGACCAGCTTTCCCCAAGCTTTTGGCTGTATATTGGAAATACAAGATGTTTGGACAAGTGCATGAAGTCAACATCTCTGGGTCCTATCTGACATCATTATTTTTTTAACATTTGATTCACATGTGCAGCCAAGGTTGAGAACCACCATCTTAGACCAATGTTCTCAAACATTTGTGCACTCAAGAATCATCTTGGGAGTTATCCTAAGAGGAAATTCTCAGGCTCACAACTTTCAAAACGCTGACTCAGGAGAGCTGGGGTTGGCTGAGGCCAGGAATCTACATTTGTCAACTAGCCCCCACATGGTTCTGATGTAGGGGACTTGAGGACCACAGTCTGAGAGCCCCTTGGTGGGATAAGACAGGAGCTCCACTGTTGGCTTCCTCAACACGATAGCTCCCTGTTCATGACAGCTTTCCCTATTTATTTTTTTTCCAGTTTTTCGAGTTATAATGACATACAGCACTGTACAGCATAAGGTGTATGGCATAATAACAGTTTGAATTATATATTTTGTGAAATGCTTACCACAATATGTTTAATTAACTTCCCTCATCTCATATAGATACAATAAAGAGAAAAAAACAAAAAAAAAGTCTTTTCCTTGTGCTGAGAACTTTACATATATATTCTAACATATATATATATATATATATATATATATATATATATTTAACAACAATGTTAACTATAGTCATCATTATGTTGTACATTACATCCCTAGTACTTATTTATCTTATAACCGGAAGTTTGTACCTTTCGACCACCTTCTTCCAATTTCTCCTCCCCGCACCCCTACCTTTGACAACAACAAATCTTATATCTTTTTCTATGAGTTTGGGTTTGGTTTTCTTTTTCTTTCTTCTTTTTTTAAATTAAAGTTTATTGGGGTGATAATTGTTAGTAAAGCTACATAGGTTTCAAGTGTACAATTCTGTAATACATCATCTATATATCATATTGTGTGTTCACCACCCAGAGTCAGGTCTTCTTCCATCACCATATATTTGATCCCTTTTATCCTCATCTACCACCCCGCTCCCCCCTTATCCTCTGGTAACCACTAAACTATTGTCTGTGTCTATGAGTTTTTGTTTCTTCATTTGTTTTGTTCATGTAAGTGAGGTCCTACAGTATTGTCTTTCTTTGTCTGACTTATTTCACTCAGCTAATGTGCTTGAGGTTCATCTATGTTCTTGCAAATGGCAGGATTTCCTTGTTTTATATGACTGAATAATATTCCATTATATATATATATAAAGTGTATATTGTATATTATATATTACATACAAAAACTTCTTTATCTATTTATCCATTGATGAACACTTATATTGTTTCCAAGTCTTGGCAATTGTAAATAATGCTGCTATAAACATGGGGGTGCAGATATCTTTCCAAGTTAACATTTTTTTGTTTCCTTTGGAAATATCTCCAGTAATAGAATTGCTTAGTCATACAATAGTTCTATTTTTAACTTTTTGAGGGACCTCCCTACTGCTTTCCATAGCAGCTGCACCAGTTTATAATCCCACCAACTGGGCATGAGTGCTCCTTTTCTCCACATCCCTGCCCAGCATTCATTAACCCTGTCTTTTTTATAATAACTATTCTAATAGGTGTGAGTGATACCTCATTGGGTTTTGTCCCTTTTGAAATATTGAGTTGTCTGTCTGTCACCCAAGGAATAGGCTCTGAGAGGGCAGAGACCTTCCTACTACATGCCCAGAATTAGCACAGTGCCCAGACGTGGTAGGCACTCAGTAGACATTCATGGAATCACTTCATTGTGCAGTACTTTTCCACAACGATGTATCTTTTTTCCCAAGTATGTTATTATATAAAATATTTGAGAACAAGAAAGACTATATCACCTTACTTGTCCTATAACACCAAACACAGTGACCTTTATATTGTATTAATAGACACTTTATAAATTTATTTTTTATTATTTAAGAGGTATTACCTAAGATTCTTGAGCTGCTATGGTAGGATTAAAGCTTGAAGTAGGTTGATGAAATACCCACAATATACAATAGTGTAGTCTGTCAGTTCTGAAATTGCTCAGAAAAGGGAACTAAAAGAGACACAGTTTTACTTTTTGACATATGCAAATGGCTGGCCAAACAGTGTCACAAACTCAATTACGCTGAGTATGAACTATGGTCTGATTTATTTCAGAAGTGAGAAAATCCTTTTTCTGACACATGCTCTCTCTCTGTCTGTCTCATGGACCCCATGAGAATAAGTCCGTGGAGAAACATCTGAGAGGGTCCTCCTCCACATGTTGGGAAGCATAGCACATTTTTGTGGCAGACCCCTAGCAAAGATGAGAGAACTGCCTGGCAGTTCTCAGATCACCTCAAAGTCCTTTATTTGTTAACCATATGCCCTTCTGTGATTAATTAATTCAGAATCCCATTCCAGCAAAACACTGAGCTTTAGTTCATAATCAACTTCAGGAAGTTTCACACCATTCACTTGGGTCCTAGGGACCATGTGTCCAAGATATGCTCTTAATTTTCTCAAATAATCATTGGCCTTCGTTGAAACTTTCTCCTTAAAATACGAAGGTCTACATTTCAAGAGCATATGAATCATTAGCATCTTTTGGCTCTGATTCAAAGCTTCAGACCAATAAGCACTGCATGTTTTGAAATTTTATCAAATGAGTTATGTTGTTGCTAGTCCTTTGAATTATTTGACTTCTGAAGAGAATATAGTGCAGGGTTTTTCCAACTTTTTTGACCATGCCTCTCAGTGATACATAAATTTTGCGTTACAACCCAACACCACAAACACACACACACACACACACACACACACACACACACAAATTTCCATGAAAAAATAGTTGTCCATATTACATGCAATGTATACTGTTATCCTTTTCTATTCTATTCTATGCATTTTTTTAATGATAATGCAATCCATTAAAGCACTGGTTCTCAAGCTTAGCTATCTAGTGGAATGCCCCAGGAAGTATTAACAATTTCCAATGCCTGGGTCCCACTCCCTGAGAGTCTGATTTAATTGGTCTGAGGAGTGACCTGGGCAGTGGGATTTTAATGTGCATCTCAGGTAGGTAACCTGTACAATAAGTTGATTTCATAGTACACAAATGGGTCATGACTTATAGTTTGAAAAACACAGGCACTGAGTAACATTAGATACTAATTTCCCAAAGGCAATGGCATTTGCAAGCAGACTTGTTTATTCACTGAATAAACAGTATGCCAAGGGCTGCCCTGGGCACAGGGGATACAAATATGCTGAAGATATTTTCTCTGCCCTTGAAGAACTAACAGCCTTGTTTTCACAAAGGGAACACACCAATGTAGCCAATTCCCAGATCAAGAATCAGAGCACTGTCAGCACCAGAAGCCTCCTTGTGTCCCCTTCCAGTCACTAACACTAACATGACTTCTAACAGCATAAATTAGTTTTGCCTGTTTTTATACTTCAAATCAATTGACCCTCATACAATATGTTCTCTTCAGTGTCTGGCTTCTGTAGGTCAACATTCTGTTTGTGAGATCCACCCATATTATTCAGAGTAGCTGTAGTTCATTCATTATTATTATATAGTATTCCACATTCTATAAATACATCTCAACTGGTTTATTCATTTTACTTTAAATGGGCCTTTAGATGGGCCTTTAGACGGGACAGTTTAGGCATGTGTGCATTCTAGTACATATGTCTGGTGAATATATACACATATTTTTGTTGGATACATACCTAGAAATGGAAATTCTGGACCATAGCTTAAACATATGGACAACATTAGAAGACACAACTAAATAGTTTTCCAAAGTAGTTGCAATAACTTACACTCCCATCAACAAAGTATGTGAGTTCCAGTTGCTCCACATTTTTGTCAACATTTGGTATTGTCAGTCTTTTTCACTTTAGTCATTCCAGTATGTGTGTTAGAATGCACATTTGAAATAAATTTAAGTAAAATAGGCAAGTTTGTTAAATTGACATATATGAGGTCGGACACTTAAGTTCATGAACTTGTTGCAATGATGCTGCTAACCTTTTTGATATCAGAGGGATTATTCATTATGAATTTGTACCAACTAGACAGACAGTTAACCAAGTTTACTATTTGGAAGTGCTGAAAAGGCTGCATGAAAAAGTTAGACGACCTGAACTTTTTGCCAACAATTCATGGCTCTTGATCATGACAATGCACCAGCTCACATGGCACTGGCTGTGAGGGAGATTTCAGCCAGTAAACGAATAACTGTATTGGAACACCCTCCCTACTCACCTGATCTGGCCCCTAATGACTTTTTTCTTTACATGAAGATAAAGGAAATATTGAAAGAAAGATATTTTGATGATATTCAGGACAACAAGTGTCATACAATGACAGCTCTGATGACCGTTCCAGAAAGAGCTCCAAAATTGCTTAGAAGGGTGGACTAGGTGCTGGCGTCAGTGCATAGCTTCCCAAGGGGAGTACTTCAAAGGTGACCATAGTTATATTCAGCAGCAAGGTAGGTAGCACATTTCCTAGGATGAGTTTGCAAACTTATTTGTCTGACCTAGTATATAATGGTGCTAAATAGTGTGTGAAAATCCTCCCTTGACTTGGGAATTCATAGATGTTCCAAAATCTTACAAGGGGCCTTTGTCCTATCTTAGTAATTGTGTCTCTCTCCCTCTCTCTCCCTCCCCCTTGCCCTTGTTCTCAAACTCTCTCTGCTTCCGGTATCTAGCCTGGGTCTGACCTGGAGAGACATGCAGCATCTGACTGTGCTCACCTCCAAACGGAACCAGCTTCATGATGAGGTTCATCAGTGGCGACGGAATGGGGTTGGCCTGGAGTTTAATCACCTCTTTGGCTATGGGGTCCTTGACGCAGGTGCCATGGTAAAAATGGCTAAAGACTGGAAAACCGTGCCGGAGAGATTCCACTGTGTGGGAGGCTCTGTACAGGACCCTGAGTAAGTGGGAACATGGTTCTCTTGCATGTGGAAATGCCCCAGAGATGGTGCCATGGCATTGGCGACAATATCAGATTCAATCTCCATGTCAGGGAGATGCAGTGAATTTGATTCAGGGACAACCAGCTTCCAAGGAGTGCTATAGTATTGCACAACTCTGGAGGGTGCCATTTACATAGAACACAATTGTGTAACTCAGAACCCTTACTTTTAGGTATAAGCCTTAACTGTTTTGGTACTTTATGCCATTATTTTAATTGCAAAGAAAACACCAGTGTGACCAGCTCCCAGACCAGTAAACACAATACAACCAATATCCCAGAAGGCCCCCATGTCCTCTTCCATCATCATTTCCCCAAGGGTAACCACTATTCTTATTTCTAACTCCATAGATTATTTTGCCTATTTTATACTTCATATAAATGGAATCATACACTATGTTCTCCTTTATATCTAGATTGTTATGCTCAGAATTACTTTGTGAGATTCAAACATGTTTAGTATGTACTTGTAGTTCATTTACTCTAATTGTTAAATAGTGTTCCTTTGTCTATAACACAATTTATTTAGTCATTCTACTTGTAGGACAATGATTTAATTCTGAGTGCAGTAAATAGACATTTGGAAGGATTTGAATGATAAATTTCCCATACAGAAACCACTGATCTGGTCACACTTACCTACCTCTTTTCCAACTCACATCACAGCAAAAGGATTAGACAATAAGGACCTCTTTATTTAATTTCTCTCTTCATTGGTCCACCAGTAAAATAGAAATAGCAGTTATGATCATTATTATTTTCCATTTAAGATTTATGCATATATAATGAAATGCACAGAACGTGTGTTATTTGAATTTTAATAAATGTATACACCTGGGTAATCACCATCCAATCAAGAACTGGTACATTCCATAACCAGAAACAGTTCTTGTGCCCCCTTCCAGTTAATCCCCACATCCCATAGACAGCCATTGTTTTCATTCCTGTCCCCATATATTAGCTTTACAGTTCTTGGAGTTTATCTAACTAGGATCATATGGTCTGGATGCTTTTGTGTCCAGATTCTTTTATTCAACATGTCTGTGAGATCCATCCAAGTTACTATGTGTAGTAATAGGTCATTCATTCCCATTGTTATGTTGTATTCTATTGTGAGAATACACCTCTGGGAACTTATGTCACTTAGATGGTAGTAAAATCAATCCCTTCAACCACCCTCCACCCCAGCCTTATTTCTGTTAACCATCTGAGCTTGGTCAGAGTCAGAGCCCTCTCACAATACATCCTCCCTCCATTTTCCTTTGGTCCTGGAAAAGGATCTGTAGCTTCTGTAGTCAGTTACCCAGACCTGGATTCAATTCTTGATTTCAGCAAATTGGACAATATTTTTGACTTATCTGAACCTCTATTTTAGCAATTCTCAAGCTTTATACCCTGGTCCCTTTTGGCAGTATGGTGAAGTCTATAAACCTCATTTCAGTATACTATTTTTAAATGCATTAGATAAAATACATGAGATTACAACAGAAGGCAAATATATTGAAAATCAGTTTTCAAAAAAAACTTTAAACAAATTTGTGATGAAGTAATCTACTTCCTTTCTTTTATCAACACATTAAGTAAAAATGTGTTATGCCACCCCTACTGTCAAGTCTAATGGCTACGATAATTTCAGAGCAGTGATGGTGACCAAAATGCTACTTCAAGTTACCTGTAAAGACTAATGGGATATGAAAATCTCTGGGCTCCTTGGTGACAAACCGAGGAAGTGCTAATACCACTCTGGCATGTGGCCTGCATTCACAATCAAAGAAGAAGGTGTTTCCATTATAAGTTATCGAAAATTAAGACACAGGGATTTTTCTATATAAATTCATATACTCCTTGAATTTGTCCCTTACAGGCCCCAAAACAGGGGCCTCTTCTCTCTTTCCTCACCAGTAAAATGGAGCTAATATCTCTGTCCTCACCAGGCTGCTGGGAGACTTTAATGAAGCAATCATCGTAGAGCTGGCACACAGTGGACACTCAGCAAATGGAGTTTTGTCATTCCCTCTCACCCATGACTTTTGACATTCCTAGTTAACACCTGTGGAAAAAAGAAAGATAATAATGTCCTAGAATTTTGGACATAATCGCCTGATTAGTACATGAATTCAAAATTGTGTATCCTTTAACTGACAGTGCCCTCCCATAGGTCAGCATCCTAGTGTTTGCTCACTAATCACCTAAAAAGTGGCACCGAGTAAATTGTTGCAGAACTGTGTGTAATTTTCCAGGAACTAGTCCATAATTTCACCAACACTGCATGGGAAAGTACAGCTTCAGCCCAAACCCTGTAATAGCTTAAAAAACGGAGCTGCACAAGCCCCACATGACGTGCTATAATAAAAATAACTGCTCTGCAGAGTTCCTGTCTTTCCCTGAAGCTGCCGTGTACATACATCATTTCTGTTCATCCTGTCCCCCTCCGCTTGGTAAAACAGGCTGCTCTGTGGCCCCAACAAGTTGGTTGACTCGGTAAGGTCACAGGGGCTGTCAGTGAAAGTGAAGGAACTGACTTTTATTGGGTACCTACTATGTGTCATGCACTTTACAATCACATAAACTTCATAACCACCCTATTGTTGAGTATGTGTTTTACCTCACACAGTCAGGGTGTGACTATTTTGCAGCATTAACAACAAACTGGTCCCATGTTGTGTCTCAGAGAGAAGCATCTACTATGTGCCTGGCATGAGGCCTTTTATATACACTGTTTTGTACATGCGATCATTACTTGTTACTAGTGAGGAAGCTGAGATGCAGAAAGCCCAAGAAATGTGCTCTAAGTCATAAAGAGCGGACCAGGACTTGAAACAAGGCCCATCTGAATCCAAACCCAAGGCTTTTTTTCATTATAAGACATTGACCTTAGTGAGCTCCTACTGTGCATTCAGGCCCTCTTATTAGAGCAGCCCTGCTGTCAATTCGAGAGTGTCATCACAGATGAGAAGAGGCTCAGAAAGGTTATAGGCACATCAAAGGTCACCTAGTTACTGATCAGTTGAAGTGGGATTTGGACCCAGGCACTCTGATACCAGAACTCCACCCCATGAGGGGCCTCAGTGATTCTCTGTTGGAGGAGGTAAGGCTCAACGAATATCAGAAGGGCCTGGGGAGTTTTTTTAATAACTCCTGCCCCCTGGGACTCAAACACCCACCTAGCATGTGGTCCTCCCTCCCAAATTCCACTAACTGCCATTCTGGGGACCTTGTCACTGCTGGGATCTACGAACAGAGTGACCAAACGTAGACACAACTAGGAGCCATCATCCAAAGGGGGATTGAAAGGTAAATCCTACTTACCATAACTAACTTTACCCAACTTAAACATTAAATAGGCATTGACGACTGAGCTCCCCTGTCAGAGTTCAGAACAATTTCTGAGTGATTTGGAAGGACCAGGAGACTTTCTGCAGTGCTGGAAATGTTCTCTATCTGAGTGTCTAATACAATAACTGTGGCTATGGGGTGCTAGAATTGTGACTAGTGTGACTGGGGAACTAAAGTGTCCATTTGATTTAACTTCAGTTAATTTAAATTTAAATTGCCTCATGTGGCTAGTGGCTCCCATCTTGGACAGCTCAGCTCTAAGGCACATCTGGTAGTTACAAGGTAGCAGGAGAGATGCTAAATCGCACAAACAGAACAGAAAAGGTAAATTTAATAACATCATCTCTGTGAAAGGGTGTGCAGAAGTCAAACCTGCAAGGAAGTTGGGGGAAGGGAGGGTGGGCAGATTCACAGCCCATGCCTCCCTCAGCGCTCCTCTCGCTGATGTCCACTGCTCACTCTTCACACACAGACAGCAGGACACTCAGGAGGCCAGACACCTGTCTAAGGGCAGCCCTGGGATAATGCAGGCACAGAGCTGCCACCTACTAAGAACTCCTCTCAGACAGTCACTGAGCTAGTTTCCTTCCACCATGTTATTTAATTACAGAAGGCGGGCATCACTGGTCTTATTTTACTGATGAGAAAACAGAGGCTCAGAAAGATAAAGTAAATGGCCCTAGTTCACAGAAAGAGCAACTCCACCATCTAGCCAGTCTGCAAAGTCCTGGGGCTTGGAAACTCTCCATTATTGCAGAGGGAGAGGGTAACACAGGAACTTGCAGAGAAGGAAAGGCCTTTTTTGCAGAGAAGGAAAGGTATTTGTGCCTTTACAGATGCTCCACCACCAGCAGATAGGGGCAAACATCCTTCGTGGGCAGTCCCACTGGAGCCATATCTAGTTATTTGCACATTGCTTACATTCCCAATTAACAGAAAAGTGGCCTGGTTGCACTGTTTAGAGGAGCTGCCAGGTTGGTGTGCACTGGGGCCTCTTCGTCGAGGCACATGTTGATATCAGACCTCATTTTCTGAGGTTGCAATGGACAAGAAGGATGGATCTCTAATGATTGTCAAGCTCTGTATGTTTGTTAGCAAGGGGAAAGGGAAAAGAGAGATGGAGAAAATATGCTGAGATAAATGACAATTTATCTCCCCATTTCTGCGTATACTTAACATTCTTTCGCAATCCACATAAATGCTGAATTTGGAGCCAGAGACAACACTGGAAATATGTTGTCCGCATCCATAATTTTACAGTTAAGGAATCTGAGGCCCATACATGTGAATGTCCCAACAACTCACAACTAGCTAGAAATTTTTAATTTTTCAATTACAGTTGACATTCAATATTATTTTATTTCACTTTTAGCTGTACAGTATAGTAGTTAGACATTTATATAATTTAAGAAGCGATCCCCCTTACTAGTCTAGTACACACCTGGCAATATGCATAGTTATTACTAAATTTGACTATATTCCCTATGCTTTGCTTTACATCCTTATGACTATTTTGTAACTACCAATTTGTACTTCTTAATTCTTTCACTTTTTTCACTCTGCCCCCACCCCCTCCCATCTATCGCCCCAAAATATCTAGTACCCATCTGACATCATACATAG